AACCTAGAATTATAGCTGGTTCATTCCTTTAACCACCCCAGGGTTTTGTGAGTAACAGGGTAGATTTCTAACAATTATTTCAAACTGTCCCTTGAAGCTTCTAGGAACAAAATTAATGAACCTGCTTTTCTATTGCCATGAAGATGTCCTTTATGCTATCTTGGGTCATAAACTTGAAGGTAGGAAAAGGTTCCCTTGGCCCAACCACACTTTCATACCAGATTCTCCCATCAACCAAGAAGTACCCCAAGAAGTGAGCCGAGGCAGGAGACAACCACATGACTCAGGTCCTAGTCTCATTACTAAAAAGAGCACCATTGCTAGCTGCTGGGACTTCCACATTCTTGTTCCTACACTGCCACCTCCCAGGTGGATGATCTTGGACCAGTCACTCACTGCCTTTGTCTGTCTAACCTATAGAGCTAATGAATTTGAAAGTGCTCTGAATCACATAGAGTGTTGTGAACCTGTGTTACCTCTGTTTAAAAACAAACAAAAAAAAAGTGCCCCTTAAATTTTTTGGACATAAAGAATAGTACCATTCTTAAGACAGCTGAATCGTCTTGGATCAGGGTGATTAAAACTATTACTGTTGAAAGACAGGAGATAAGATGGAGGGCAGGAAAACTCATATGGTTTTTTTATTTTTATTTTTTTCCCATACTGGTAGAAACATTTTGCTTGTGCAAACCCTCTAGGTGGCAAGTGTGCTCAGGAGCTCTCGGCAGAATCAGGACCAGGTGTGCGCTACTAAATACTGGAGGAAGGCCAGTACAAAGGCATAAAGAGCTTCCTTAGAGCTCCAAACCCCCTGGAAGCAGAGTATATTTCCATTTGGGTCCTTGATGGTAGCATCACAAACCCTTGAGAAAGAAAACTCCCTTGCATGTGAGGCAAACACGTTGCATCATGTTCTGTGGTACAATGAGCTATTAGCATAACACACTACATTCCAAAACCCAGTGGAAGAAGCAATAGTCTTTCATGTTAATTAGAGATTCTTCACTTTCCCTTAATTGCTTGAGTCAGCTCTGTTGACTCTGGGAAAGTCACGGTACACAGGTAGAGCTACTGCTGTTAATCACGGTGTGACTATCAGGTAATAAGGCTTTTGTTTTGTTACTTTTCACAAGCAAACCCAGCATATATCTTCAAATGAGTGCCCCTGTTCAACACGTCACATTAGCAGACGACACTCATGTTGACATCTTTCCTATCTATGTCTTAGAATATGGAATGGCAAGTACAGGTGCTCTTGGAGGGGGTGGGAGGGCAGGGAAGGCACTGTATAATTAATACGCAAGCATTGCTAAAAACCTGAGATATGCGATTGCCACACCAATGGGGGGACCTGAAAGCATTTGGGTCAATTGCTTAGAAGGTAGGAACTACACATTAAATGACCCTGGAGAGATGTACATAGATACTTTTCCTGCAAGTAAAGATCCAAGTCACTAACACACCTTCCTTGAATCCGTAAACTATAGTTAACTGCATTGCACACATAAAAGTGTTCAATAAATACTTACAGGTTATTTGTCCTACCCCATCACAATACTTACATTTTTTTCTTCAGAAAATAGAGTCCCTATTTGTAATGGAACTGAAATGTGGTGATATCTGCCCAGTCTGTCTGTCATGGTGGTGCTTCTGTTTATCTCTATGTATGCTCCATTCTCTAGAACCAGCCTTCTTTGCTTCTTGTAGCTTAGATGATGCATGGCCTGTTGTGAAATACTATTCATGCGAAGCCATGTTAGGCTTCGGTAACAAACCTCCAGATTTCAATGACCTAAAATAGCAAAGGTTCATATCTCACTTTTGCTACATGTACACCAAGCGTTAGCTGGAGGTAAAGGAGTTCTGTTTATCATAGCCACTTGGGAGCCCAGAATGAGAGAAGCAACAGTCTGGAAAAATGAACACAGTGACACATGTACTAACACTTAGTGTCCAGTATTAGTCACTTCTGCTCACATTTCCTTGTCAAAAAAAGTAAAATTGCCATAACTAACTTAATTGAATGGGCATGTACAGTCCTACCAAGACCCTGATTGAGGAGAAAGTAGAAGTATTTGTGAGAATAGCCTTCATCACCCAAGAAAGCAAACCCTTTGTGTTCAGCAGCCACAGCTAGTAACTCATATTTTCCACATTCTCTTTACATGGATACTGAGTACTCCCCAGACAGTAAGAGAGAAGGTGAGCTACCTGATCCATTTTTATCTAAAAGGGCACAGCACTAGGCCCCTGGACAGCCTATGTATCTGTCCTCAAGTCAGGTCCAGTCACCTGCAGAACAGATATATAATTTAGCATGCAGCTACCTGCCCCACTCCCCTGATCCTATCCAGGGATCAAGAGTACTGTGTAGTACAGAAGGAATTGTTGTTTGATGTCATGATTTTTCAGTCATGATATGTTACTTGCTCTAGTCTTTAAAGACATGCATTGTACAATCAAGTTGTTTATGAGCCAGAATCTCAACAGAAATGAAATGGAAATGCTCAAGTCCAAGAACTTGCTATGTTAACCTATCAGTTTAGGGATCAATGATGAGATACTAAGGAATTTTTTAAATTGACACTGTACAGCACCATTTCTGTGATATTGGGATACCACAGTTTTTGACCTATAACCTAAGCTAGAGGAGTAGATGGGGAGAGGAGTGGATGGCTTTAACCCACACAAAAAGACCTGGACTTCTGAAGCTGGAACTTCACCACAGTCTTCCATCTATCTTCCAGTCTCATGTCCTAGTTCAACCCAAATCAGCCTACTAGCCAACTACCTTCCCTTAACTCATACAGTACCTTCCTCTCCAACTAATTGCTACCCTTCCTCTAAAAATTAATTTAAAAGCTGCCACTTTTCAGAAAAGTCTGTTTCTGTCTATTCTGACTAGGCATGTCTATTTCTTCCTCTTCCTAATTTTCTTATCTGTGCATGCAGATCACCCAGAGGGTGGATAAGTCTTACTCATTTGGAAATCCCAGTGCATAGTACCTGGTAAAGAACAGATAATAATAATATGTTTGATGAACGTTCCATAGCACTCATTCATTTAAGGAACCTTTAGTGAGATTCTCTGCTAGGCTCTGCACAGTGGAATGTGAGTAACACACGATACCGCTAGGAGTTTCTCCAATTTAGTTGCCTCATTTTATAGATGAGAAAACTGAGGCCCAAAAAAGTAAGTCAACCATTGCCACCCAACCCTTCACAATTTGGTGAGCAGTTTGCTGTGTGCTCGAGAAAATGCTTTCAAGTCTTATCTCATTTTTATCCTTGTAACAAGCCTGAAATAGAAGAATTTTCACCCCAACTTTACAGAAGAGAAAATTGAGGCTTTAAGAGATTGGGTCATGGCTAAAATCATACTGCAAAAAGGTAACAAAGCCAGGTTTGTCTGGGCCTAAATCCTAAATTGAGAAATTAGCTTCCTGTGGTCCATGCATTTGTATATTACCCACAGGCCTTGAACTTTATCAATCTTCCAGTGGCTGGGTTAACATAGGATAGTTAAACAATTCTGGCAAAATTCTATGCCAGGCAGCCCCTAGGCACACAGATCTAATGTTCTAACCTTAAGGTCAGGGTATTTTCCCTCCAGGGCAGTTGGGTTAATGGAAGAAACCTGATTAAAACCTGGAGCTGAACTTGATCATTCTCTGAAAGGCTTACAGGTTGTTTGGCCTGGCTAATATGCTCAGATGCTGTCTGCAGAGTACTCAGTATCCATGTAATATATGTTGTGAGTTGTTCTTTGGGGACTGTTAACAAGACCCTAACAAACTCTGCCACAGCCAGCCTCAAGCAGGGTTTTGGGGTTGCCCTCTCTCCTCCCCTTTACCTAGGCTCAGAAAGGAGCAGGCTTCCCCACCCCCACCCCCCCACTGGGGGTTGTGAAGAATTAAAAAAAAAAAAAAAAGTAGGGGGAATCCTTCTCCTGATTCTTGACAGAGCTCACAGTGCTAGATGTGTTCCCTCCTCAGAGCTAGGGCTGTGGATACAATAACTTAAATGGGAGAACATCACACACTTTGGCAGGCTGATACCTGAAAGCCTAACTTGGGAAGAGGCAGGCTTCCTAAAATCAGTGCAAGAAAAAATGACTTTAAAAGTTAAATCTGGGGAAACCTCAGGGATTATTGACCACCTGGATTTAAAGATAAGACTGCAGCATCAAGGCTGAATTACTTGAAATGGTTGCAAAGCTGCTAATGATAGACCAAAAACCAAGTTATCTGAGTCTAAACTCAATGTTCGTTCCCCTTAAATTTTCTTTCACCCACTTACATACCAACACACAGGTCCTACCCTTTGCAAGAGCAGAATACACAAGTACATGAAAAAATACTCTAACTGGGTCCTGTGTCCTTTAAGTATCTGACAGTCCTTCCCCTGGACAAGGATACAGGGATAGCAGATTGAGGCATTCTGACCCCAACAGCGGAGAAAGGAAGTCTCAGGGGCTGTCTCCAGGTCTTCCCAGCTCTCAGTTTCACTTAAGTTTAAGAACGCAAGCGTCAGGGATGGCACTTGACTGAGAGCTGCGGGGGTAGTGCTGGGCGGGTGCCTGGAGCGCTCAGGCTAGAGCTCCAGGTGCTGCGGCTGCTGGGAACTGGGTTTCTGAAGCTAAGCGATTCAGGAATTGGGGGCTCAGGGAGGATGTGCTCCCACTACCTGCCCTGCTCTTCCGCCTCTGGTGTCTACCTTTGGCTCGACTGGGAACTCTAGTGGCTAGGCAAGGGTCCCTGGGCTAAGGGAGTGCCTAGGGCAGAGATTTGTGCCATGGCCCCCAGCGAGTCCGTTGCGCCCTCTCCTTGGCGCTCAGGTTTGGAAACTGGACGGCCTCGCCCAGCAGCCGCCTCGGCTGCTCGGGTCCCCATATATAGTCATATCCACCGTCAACTGGGAGGCCGGCAGGCGGCAGCGAATGGGCGAGCGGCCCCGCGGGAGGAGCAGGGAGGGGGTAAGGGGCGGAGGGAACAGAGGGGGGAAGGGGGCAGGAGAAAAAAGCTTTTCCAAAAAAGTATTGGCTGTCTTGAGGAATGCGGTTGCCCCCTTGGGAAAGTACATATCTGGGAGCAGCAGGCGGTTCAGCGCTCGCACTCCCGCCCAGCCGCCGCACCGCACGTTCCCCTAGCAGTTCCCACCGCAGCCCCAGGGCCCCGTCGCCACCGCCACCATGGACGCCATCAAGAAGAAGATGCAGATGCTGAAGCTCGACAAGGAAAATGCCTTGGATCGAGCGGAACAGGCGGAAGCCGACAAGAAGGCGGCGGAGGACAGGAGCAAGCAGGTCTGCACCTCCCCGACTCCGCTCCCACGGGCTGCCAGTGCTCCACCCGCCTGGGTGCTCCCGGGTCCTGAGACCCAAGCCTGGCATCCCTTCCCAAACCTTCACCCGGAGAACTCGGGGAATCATCCGTGCCCCAGGGCGTTGGGGATGCGCGTCTCATTAAGGCGAAGGGGAAGAACGAGACTCAGGCTTCTTACAACTTTTGGTCCTGTCTGAGGACGCCTGTTTCACGAATCTGATTCCCAGAGCCCGCGCGGTCAGTTCACATCTTAGAGGCCCTTGATTCTCAGACTGGGAATCCGTTTTTTGGATGGGGTACAGTGGTGGTGATTCACATACTCAATTCTAGAGCATGTCAGAAGTTCTGGACTTCTAGTTGGGAAGATTGGAACCTTCAACTGGGCTAGAGTCTGGGGCGTGGGGGAAGGTTAGAATGGAGGAATTTTTTTCCCCCATAAGAATAAAGTTGGGATAGAATGGAGTACCCGAACGCCGGGAGTGGTTCTCTGCGCCCCTAAGTTGTGAACTTACGCTCCCTGAGACGTCCGCTGGAGTCTCCTGGGGGGTGGGGGGGGCTGGGTTGTGGCGTGGGCAACCGTGCGGTTCCAATACCAGACAAGAGAAAGTTTCTTAAGGACCCTAACTCAGAGGTCCCCCCAGACTGAAAGACACCAACCATGTGTGTGTGTGTGTGTGTGTGCGCGCGCGTGCGTGTGTGTGTGTGTGTGTCTGTCTAACACCCGGTCCGTGCCGGCCGCCCGCGCCCGCCCGCCGCTGCCCCCCAGCTCGAGGAGGACATCTCAGCGAAGGAGAAGCTGCTGCGGGTGTCGGAGGACGAGCGGGACCGGGTGCTGGAGGAGCTGCACAAGGCGGAGGACAGCCTCCTGGCCGCCGATGAGACCGCCGCCAAGGTACCCGGGGCGCGCAGCGCTGTGCGGCACAGGAATGGCTAACTCTGTCTTTCTCTTTTTCTCCCTCCCTGTCCTTCCCTCTCTCTCTCCTGCTGTCCCTTTCCTTCTGGTTCTGTGCACCCACACCCCTCCCCTGCGGGATCACGCTGCCTGCTGCACCCCCCCCTCCCCCTTCACCCCCACCCACGGCCAACTCCCAGCTGGAAGATGAGCTGGTGTCGCTGCAAAAGAAACTCAAGGGCACTGAAGATGAACTGGACAAATACTCCGAGGCTCTCAAAGATGCCCAGGAGAAGTTGGAGCTGGCGGAAAAAAAGGCCACTGATGTAAGTGCACAGCACACATTGCCCCCCTCACGTCCTGCCTAGGTGGCCACTCTGGGGTCACCACAGAGACCAAAGAGAAATAGAGGAGTAGCACCTCCTCCAGCCAGACCCCAGCACACGCCTCGCCATGGCCCAGAGCACTGGATGCTGCTTTCAACTGCTACTGCACACATTTATTTATATTTCATCCATTCCTCTCTCTCTCTCCTTCTCTCTTCCCTGGACCCCTGGGGTTGGAGGTGGGTGGATGTAAAACTGGGAGAATGGAGCAGTTGAAATTGAATTCTGGAGGTTCAACTTGCCTCCCTGGTGGCAGAAAACCTCTGAGGTGTTAATACCAAGGTTTGTATAGAGATAGCCTAGTTTTCTTCATGTTATTTCTTTTCTCAGCTCTGGGGGGGGGTGGGGGGGTGAAAGGCCTGGTTTTCAATGGGTGCCTCTTCAGGATACAAAAGTCCTGGTCTCTAGATTGAAAGAAATGGCATGGTACAACTTTTACTTAGAAGACTGACTGCAAAGACACTTGAGGCCTCCCTCTTCCACTAGGGAAGTATTAATGCAGCCCTTAAGACTTGCCTGGGAAGATGACACTTGCTTGGGTCTGCAGTCAGGCACAAGACCCAGAAAGTAAGCTGGGAGTTATATATAGCTCAGTGCTTTATATGGTAGAGTGAGCTAGCTGACCCCTGCCCCTCCTGCTCACCCCACCCCCACCTGTCAGCCTCCTGACAGCACCACATAGTTTTGAGGGTGATGCACACACTGCAAAAACTGTACCAGTACTTTATACGCTGCCCTTCGGAATCTTTTTCTTTCTTTCTTTTTTTTTTTTTTTAACTAAAGAGCTTGCCTCTACTGCTGAGTAAAGACAAGTGAGGCATTAGATTTCCAAAGGACCAACTTTTTTCCACACTGTTGATTCCCTTCTAGAAGCTAATTAAGCCTCAAGGCCCAATTAGGAAAGAAATTCTTTAGGAAGTTGGTAACAATCCAAGAATGTATGAGCACCAGGGAAAGCTATGTCCAGAAGTTGAAACACCAAGTGCAATGGCAAATTTTTTTTTGTCTGAGAATAAAATGCAAATTGCTGGAGGGTCTTGGAAAAATCAGTAAAGGCCTTTTGTGGCATGAGAGACTTGAAATGTAATCTCAGTGTGTGCTTTGGAAATGAGAAATCCAGACATAGAACATTAAAAATCTTACAAAAAGAAATTTCCAGTGGAAATCAAGATTCCCAGAAAGGGGGTTTAGAGAAAGAGATTCAGTAAAGCCTTTAAGTTACAAACTACCTGGCATTAGAATGAGTCCAAAAATACATATAACTCTGTGCCTGCTTTGTATAATGTAGATCAGATGTCTGTTCCGTTTATGGCTAAATGGAGGCTGTCTGTCTCCCCCAGATTCTCCAGCAGGACGTTTATTTAGCTTTTTCAAAAGAGCCGCTGATAGATCAAGGAAAGATATTCCTTATAAGGAAAAGAATGCAGAGAATTTGAAAATAGCCCAGAAAGACTAAAGGCAAGAAGGAGAAAAATGCTACTACAATTCTTAAGGGGGTGGTGGGGGGAAATCATAATTATTACAACTATGTAGTGCTATCATGTCTTTATTGAAAAGTCTTGTTAAAGGGAGACTTGGAATGAGGTGGGGCAGAAAAGGAAAGGCTATTTAAAGTCAGATAGCAGAGGTGTGGTCAGCAAGGGAGGGAAATTTTTTTGAGACTGTGTTGTGGTTCTTCCTCCATCTGTAGCAAGATGCTTTTTCCTTGGTGTGCCTTTTCAAGGTATTCTAATACAGTTTTATTGAAAACTGTCCCCATGCACTTTTTGTGTGTGGTGTATTGTTTATCTTACCCTTTACGGCATTTAGGTTGTTTGGAAGTTTTGAAGAAATGCTTTATTTAGAATGATTCCTGACTAGTGAAAACAGTCAAGACTTAAGGGATACATATGTCACCAGAGAAAGGGAGAGGTAGGAGAGAGGTCAGTTTCCTCGGACAGAATCATCTTACATTTGGGATTAGGAAACTTCAGTCATTACATACCACTGTGAAACATTTTTACATTTTTCTACTACTAAATTTTTTCCCGCTGAGTTACTAACACACTTAACAAACCCTAATCCAGAAGTGGGTTCTTCCCAGGATAAAAGGTTGTAATGAACAAGATAGCACCACTGAGGGTTTTTGTTGTTTTTTTTTTTTAAAGATTGATTTATTTGTGCATACAGAACTGGGGTACAGGTCAGAGGCTCAGGGGCAGTGAGAGGCTTCACCAGAGACAGAGTGGGGAACAGAACATGCGGATCGAGGAAGTACACTGCTGAGGGGAGCAGCGGGCAGGTCAGGAGAGGTCTGCCAAGCCATGTGGTCACCTCAGGGGCAGGCTGGACTCAAACTCATGTGGAAGTGGCTTTAGCTTCTCAGTGCTGTGCTTTAACCCACTGCACCACAAGGGAGGGCCCTTAGGGGTTTGTTTTTAATGTTATTCTACCTAAATGAAGCTAAGGGGATCAGCAGTTCCATTTTCTCTAGTACCTCACCCTCTTCACAAATGGGGTGTATCTGCTATTTGCTTTTGTAAGTCTTTATTCCCTGTTGGTCTTTACTTCCTAAATTAGTGATTCTCAGCCTTACCTAGGGAAGTTTTAAAACCCAAACCCAAAACCCAAAAACCCAACTTGCACCAAGCCAATTAAATCAGAATCCCTGGGAACAGAAACAAAGTCTTAGTATTTTTTAAATACCCTGGTGCTTCCAGTGTGCAGGCCAAGCTAAGAACTGTTCTAGTCTCTTCTGTAATGACATCAGCATGAAAATGAACTCACCTGAAACTTTCACAGGTGTTTGAAAAGCAGGACATTAAGTCACCATTTGGCTGCTTAAAGTGCTTGTGAGGTCCAGCAGTTTCTCTGGTTCACCCACCCTCAGTGCTGGACACCCACTGTTTGTATTCCTTGAAGGGAGCTGTAACCCCTGGCTTTGACCAGGCCAGCTGTGTGGAAACAAAACCCCAGGCTCCACCTACAGGATGTGAGGGCCAGTGCTGGGTTTTGTGAGCTTCTAGGTTAAGGCTGTGAGAAAATCCATAGAAAATTAGTTTGGTTCACTGTTAGGTCTTTAAAGGAGAAAGAGGTTGCCAGATGTGTTTTTTTCCTTCATTATTCCCACACATCAGGAACTGACTTGAAGGGCTTCCTCTGAGAAAGGTGAGGAAGAAAGGCAGGGAGACTTGGAAGGCACTAAAAATGCAGCCCAAGGGGAGAATTGGCAGAGATGTGTCCATGTTGGTTTTCCTCCATCTGTAGCGAGATGTTTTTTCCTTGGTGTGCCTCTTCAAGGTATTCTAATACAGCCACAATAGGTCAGATTCCAGAACATCTCAGAGGGTGATCTCAAATCATAAAAGATGGCATCTCTAAGGGACCCTACGCTTTACTTATGGAGAGAAAAGTGAACCCCATGGAGGTTGGTAAGCCAGAGGTCACTGTCTGGGTCCTAACCTGACGCTTTAAAACAGTAATTGAGAATTTATTAACTAAAGTTGTCATTTTGACTATGTACAGTTAATTGTACTAACTACATCACTAATCATTATTTCATAATCCTCACAGCGACCCTACAAGGAAAGCACTACTATCAAACTCATGTTTACCGTTGAAGCCCAGTGAAGTTATTTGCCCAGAGTCACAAGGCCAGAAGAGCACTCAGCCAGGTTCAAATTTACAGAGACTGCGTCTAGATGAGGTTTAACCACGATGCAATAGTTCAGAGGTTTTCAGTTGTGGCGTAGGGGGGAGAGGAAGGTTGTTGTAGGTACGATCTTATGTTCTGGGGGTATTTACCACTAGGAACAGTCGACTTGTGTTGCCCCGTTTGGGATCCCTCGCTCAGCTTCTTTCCTTCCAGAGCTTGGGATTCGGAGACTCGGGCGCTGAGCGCCCCGGCGGCCAGCAGGTGGCACCATCGCCCTGAACAGCCAGGTCCGTTACCCCGTATCACCACGGCGCCGGGGAGGGGCGCTAGGAGTGAATTAAAATCCCTTGCGCGGTTTCCTGCCTCCAGCCTGGGCCCAGCCCGCCAGGTGCCCCGGCGGCTCGGCGCCCCTGCCCGCCCGCCAGCCCGGCTGCTGAGAGCATGCGCAGAGCCGCCGGTGGTTTGCAAATTATCCGGGCCCGCTGTGCGCGCCCCGCCCAGCCCGGCTGTCCCGCCCCCGGCG